CTCCTCCTCCTCCTCCTCCTCCAATCCACCTGTGCCTCCCAAATCATTCTCATCCTCCACGAGAACCCCACCAGCGCTCCTCATTTTTGCCCAAGCCATCTCCGAAATTTCCAGATTCTGCGCCAGCGAGACGGCACGGACGATGCGAGCTTGATGGGTCGAGTGAAGCTGCGACCGGAGCTTGGACGCGATAAAGGTTTGAAGGGATGAGAGCGGGTATGCAAAAGGTAGAAGAGCCAGGACTTTGGGCAAGGGGAAAAATCGCGATTGGGTGTTGAGGAGATGAGAAGTTGGGATGAGCAGATCCTTGTCCACCCCTCGGGCCGACCTGTACAAAGAAACGGTCGGGGCAAGCGAGCGTCAACTGCCGCGGACGATGTGCGCACCACTTTCCCTCGACGGCTGCCACTTACTCGTGCCCGGCAATGTAAATGTCCAGCAGACTCTCGAAAAGTCTGGCACGCGTCTTCGCGTGCAGCGCTGCCTTTTTCTTGCTCTTCTTCGTCTGCTCCACCTTGCCCACATACATGTCCGCTCCTGGAACTTCGGATCGGAGAAATTGAGCAAGCAAAGGGGATATGACCTTGCCTGCTTGAGTGCAGTAGGCCTCTGCAGAGTGAACGTCGCGCAGCTCGAGAGCAAGTATCCGCAAAGCGTGCGCGTGCTCCAAGACCTGAAGAATGACACGTGCAGAGCGACCCGTGTCAGCAGACGCTCTGGCACGCCCAGGTTTCCAGAGAGGCGCAACTTACTTTGCCTAGTAGAATTGCACGCTCGAAAGCCGCCCAGTGCTGTCCCTCGAGCTTGTTCAGGACGACACGCGCATCGTCCATCTCAAAGGTTTGCAACAGCAAAATCAGCTTGATCCTGGCTTCGTATGCGTTCTGATCTCGCTTCCCAGCGTCCGTCTCGATCAAAGGCGCGCCGCCGCCTGCCGGAATAGAGGATTTTTTGGCGCGTAGGACCAAATGCGCAGCAAATGACTCGGTGTAGTTGCCGGAGATGTACTCGTGTGCTGCGGTAGGTGAGGCGTGCGTTGAAAAGTGTGCGGGTGCTTCTCGAGATGTGCCAACAGGAATCAAACTCACCCACGTCTTCCATGTCCGTCTTTGCCTGTTCATCAGGCACAATGCTTCGTAGGAGCACGTCTACGATCTCCGACCGGAGATGCAAACTCTGGCGAGAGGCAAGGTAGTGTAGGTAAATTTAAGGCGCAGTCCGGTTCTTTCGAACGCACGACTCCGCACACAGGCACACCTTCTCGGCACTTGTGCATACCAGCGCCACTCACCTCGCCAGCTTCCTCACGCAATACTGCATGCTCCAAGAATGCAAGCACAGCATCAGGATGATGTTCTCGAAGCTCTTTCAGCGTCCGCTCATCGTCTCCCTCCCTCTTGCTTGTCAGGTCGACCGTATCCGCTTTTGCAAGCCCGCCCGCTCGACCGCGTCGGTCTGCCGAGGTCAAGAGCTGCGAAAAGACCGCAAAAGGCAGTGAGCGGATGCAGTTGCAACGTGTGAGAAGCAAGGACGCACCTTGATCCCTGCATCGGAATCCCACCTGATCAGTCTGATTCCGATATCCCTCCTCCACTCCAACTCTTGCTCTCCACCCGCTTGCTCGTCGTCCTGCGCCACATGCTCGTGGAGAAGCCTTACAATCTCTCGAACTTGCTCTTCCGCCGGTGGCGACCCCGGCGTCCTGGCCGGAGCATCCGCATCAGCATACGTCCCATCTCGCGCTAGTGACCCTTTGGCATCGATGGCATTAGGCGCGAACCGGTCTGCTTTGACTCCTTCCAGCAATTCCAACCTAAGCTGTATGATGCGCTTCTTTTTCTCTCGTTCCTCGCGTGCGTCTTGGCTCTGTCGACGGATCCAAATCACGAGCAGAGCGGACCACATACTCAGACCTTGCAGCGTCTCTTCGAGGACTTGCCAATCGCACGAGCTTTCAGAATGCACAAGCGCCAAGAAAGATCTCAGCGTCTGCTCCAGAGCCGGGTCAGAGGGGGAAGAAGAGAGGGGAAAGAGCGAAAGACGACGAAGAAGCAGCTGACCTAGGATCGTATCCCTTGCTGTGGCTAAGGCCGCCGATGACGAGCGTGTAGCCTCATTTTGTGTTGTAATTTGGCGCTGGCGTTGAGCTTGAAGCAAGCGTGTCAAGAGCTCTTCGAACCTCTGTTCCAAGAGTTGCGCCAAATGCGCAAAAGGTTGCGCGCTTGATAATTCCTCCTCTAGAATGGGCGGACAATAGTTGGTCTGCAAATTGCTGCGTATCAGGGCTCGGAGAGAGCTTCGCGCTTGGAGCTTGGCGTTGTTCTGAATCAAAGACGTCGCTGGGTCCGATTGCGGAGATGGGACAAGGGAGACAAAGTCGGTGTGATCTAGCATGCCAACCAATTCGAGTGGATCCACCCCGCTCAAGTCCAAGTACGTCTCCGCTCTCGCAAAGTCGACGTTGATCAGCAAGTGGGCCGCAAGCTCTCGCGATGCCCGCAGCAGAGTGCCATTGGATCGTACTTGCGCCGGATCCGATACGCTGGAACAGTGTTGAATCAGCTCTTCGAGCTTCTTCCAGCTTTCCTGACGGATCAGATCATTCACGACTTGAGACAAGGTGGGACGTGTCACGTGCTCCAGCCCATCCTTGTAAAGCAGCAACACGTGCGGTACGCTCATTCCCTGTTGCTCCTCTTGCACTTCCTTGCTGTCCAGTAAGCGCTCTTCACCGTCCCTGCCTCTCAGATGCAGGCCCAACTGCTGGCCCACAAACACCCCGCTCAGTCCCCTTGGCTCATCGAGCTCTTCCGGTGCAGCTCTTCTTCTCCTCTGCACATCCTCAGCACATCTCCTCGTCACGCATCCCCTCCACACTCTTCTGATCTCCTCACCGGACGTCGCTCCAGCGGCTAATTGATGAATCTCCAGATGATCGTCTCTGAGCAGACTGTACAGCGTCGCATCGCCGGACAAGGACAGTGCGCGGGGATGGGATGCCCATTCCAGTAGCTTTGGGCGTACTTCTCCATCGCTGCCCACAAACACACCGAGCGTACCTGTTGGTGCGTACGAAGTGAGAAGGAACTCGCACGCCAATTGCCCATTTCGCTCTGCGGTGGGAACGACGACGATGCTGGGACGTTCTTTTGGGCTCGGCCTGTCGCTGGCTTGGGAGATGGGCAGACCTAATTGTAGGATGTTGCTGTTGCCATTCTCTTGCCCATTGCCAGAGGAAGCGGCAGTGATGGACATGTCCATCAATACGTATGTGCTCGTATTTGCCAGCAAAAGCTTATCCTGCCATCTCTTTGCCAGCACCGCTCCACCGGCAGGCAGGGCCAGCTCTTTTAGCTGCCTATAGCCGCGCGAGGAGAGGAGGAGCGGCAAGACGCTCTTGCGCTTGATCAGCGCGATGCGCACCAGCCCGCCGTTGCCCTGTGCCTGTGCCTGTGCCTGTGCTGGCTCTGTAGCAGAGTCACTGCTACCACTGATGAGCTCGAGCTGCGACTCATCGGGCGCAAATGTGACAACGCCGCTGATTCGGTTGAAGGAGGGCGATGGCGCGCTTGAGAGATCCGTGCAACGCAAAAAGTGCAGATTAGACTCGACCAGCACGAGAAGGAGCGATGCGCCAGCCAGGTTGACGGGCAGAATCTTCTCCACTGGCTTGTTGCTGCTGGACAAGTCGACACTGTGCGTCTCCTTTAGCTGTGCTTGCGTGCTGCTGCTGCTGCTGCTGCTGCCGCCGCCGCTGCTTCCACTTGCGAATGGCACATATCGACGCAGCGTTCCGTCAGAGAAGCCGACGAAGAGGGCGTCGCCGAGCACCTCGCCGCACCGCACCACCGGCTGCTTATTGACTGTGCTCGAGCTCGGCCGAGCAGTAGAGGCGGAGGAGGAGGGGGAAGGGGGAAATGCAGCAGAGCCGTACACAGCTACGCTGCCCACGTACGGCTCGAACAGCTCAGCAGACGTTGTGCTGCTGGATGCCATGAGCGCGATGGCACTGTGCAGGTCGTCGTCCATCTTGACCAATCGAATCGCTGCGCTGGAGCTGGAGCTGCGAGCTGCGAGCTGCGAGAGGGAGGATGATGGGCGCGCGGATACGAAGCCAGCGCCGCTATGCCATCGACTGCTTCGACAAGTCTCGAGCGTTGGCGGAGCAGCATTCCTGTCCCAGAGGCAGGCCAAGTCGCGCGTGCCGGTGCCAGTGCCAGTGCCAGTGCCAGTGCGAACGTGAGTGCCAGTGAATCGAGTGAGCGGGCGTGGTGGCTGACCTTGCCAACGCACCTCTGTGTGGTCCGGGCGAGAAGAGGAGGATGAATGACGAATGGATGTGGATGTGCACGTCAGGCTCCCGCCGAAGGATGGTCAAGACAAAGCGACCACTCAGACTCGTTACTCACGACTTGACAAGCGCATACACTCAGCAGCAGCAATTGACTCGTGACTCGTGACTCGTGACTCGTGACTTGTGACTTGTGACTTGTGCCTCGACATTCAATCACGAATCAGTCAAAGTCAAAGTGAACATTGAAATGAAAGTCACGATCATTCAAGATTCAATTCAATTGCCGTTGCTCTTCCTGTGCGCGCATGGCCGCGCGGTGAATCGGTAAGCCTGGTTCGCGCGTGGCACGTGACTGCGCGCTCCACATCCTATCCTTTCCGTCAACGGCGCGCGCCACTGCGACTGCGCCAGCATCTTTGCACACCACCTCTTTGCAAATGACCAATCACGTGAATTCAAATTTGGACACTGGGCTGTTCTGTTGCTTAGCAAAAGAAGCACCGGACTCGGGTGAAATTTGATGATGAATTGAGTTTATAATTTTTGTACCGTCGTTCTGCTTTATTGCATCCACTCTGTGCTGGAGAATTTGAATGTCGTCAAAGGGACACATCTGCATTCAAATTGGCACGGTGGGGGCCAGCCACGCGGCAAAATGGCCCCGCACGCACGCACGCACGCAACACCTCGGCCCCCTCAAAATCAAGCCTTCGATCGACGCTGACAAGACGCGCTCGGATCGAGCCTTTGGACTGCAGTTTTGTGCGAACAATCTCGAAAGATGTTGTACGGAAGGGCTTTGTGCGCTGTCCGTCGAAAAATCATTCATGACAGCGCTTTGCATGGTGGACCATTCACATTGCAGCAGACGGCTCCCACATGCTAGGTGGTGCGGGTAGACGCGACGGACTTGACTCAAACCTGATGCCACTTGCTTGTCACGTGTCGTGGTGCTTCGTTCGAAATTCACTTTGACTCAAGACTGTACGGGCTCGCATTTCATTCACGATTCACGATTCTTGATTTTTCGTGATGCAAAAATCCCATCTCAACCCACTTGAATCGGACTTGCGCGTATCGGGTAATGCAGACGGAGACTCAAAAAATGATGCCTCATCACACCATCCTTGCGCAAGACACGTACGTATACCATGGCGCGCGCGCTCAAGTCGTCAGCTCGGATCTGCGATCAAGGCGCGCGCAGGCAAGCCGGACATAATCCCAACCGTGGAGCCAATGCGTGAGGATTTGTGGAATTAAAAAGGGACACAATGCGCGGGGGGTTTGAAAGGGATTAGACGAAACTGTTTTTCGTGGGGCAAAGAGTCGTTACAGGAGACGGAGACAGAGATGCAGTGTGGAGGGGGAAAGTGGAGATGTGGCGAAGCGTAGCGTCAATTCGGGAGGGGGGACACGGTGAGCTCGTGATTCGATCGCGAGGGTGAGAGCGCGTACTAGTTGATGGGAAGGGCAGAGCAGCCGAGGTTGATGAGGCCATTCTGGGTGACATTTTGGCAGCATCTGTAGCAGAGGCGAAGGGGAGCGGAGCAAACGTTTCAGAAGAGACCATCAGCAACAGAAGCAGGAGCAAAGAGGCGGAAACCTTTTTTGCCGGTAACCGGCGGGCGGCTCAGCCAATGCCAACTCACACTGGCGTGTTCTTGCACGTGTTGGTCAGGGAAGCGGCACCGCCAATGACGTTGATGGGCAGATTTACGCAGTTGATACCCACGTCGCCCAGCACCTGCTGTACGCCCAAGGCGGAGATTAGCGTGTCGGCCTTGTCTCCGCTCAGCGTTTGGTCGCAGCACTGAGCCTTGCCCTGGCTGCACGGTCCAGAGGCCTGGATGATGTCTCCACTTCCCGAATTTCCACCGTTACCGTTGGGCTGAGCAGCAGCCACATTGCTAGCGGGTCTAGGTTCAGGGTTGGGCTCCGCAGCTGCGGCTTTCTGCTTGCCCGTCAAGTCTTTTTGAGCATCCTTGACCAGATTGGTGATGCGAGAGTTGGCCTCCTTGCCAAAGCTTTCCACTTGCGACTTGGCGTCGCCTGCCTTTCTTTGAAGGCGGCTAGGAAGCTTTTGTAGACGCTTGGCGCCCGACGTTACTTCGTTGGGCATCGCGCCTCGCACCGCTCCATCGACAGCCTCGGCATCAGAGTGCACCTTTTGTGCCAAAAGGTTGATGCCCGTCTGGTCCGCAATGTAGTTGAGCGCGGCTTGAGGGATGGACGCTACGTTGGTGATGCTCGTGATGGGGTTGCCTTGAGCCTCGGCAGGAGACGTAGCCACGGCGAGGGCCGCAGCTACGATGAGAGGAGAGAGTCGAAGAAGCTAAAGAGTGAATGTAGGGCTCGGTCAGCGGCAGCTCATCCCGCCAAAGTCGACGGGGAGACTCACTTGCATGTTGATGCGTGGTTGTCAGAGAGTGTATGAGGAGATGGGGGCGGGGAATAGAGGCGGCGGAGGGATACTTACTTGCGTGCGAGAGTAGGGAGATGGATGCAAGAAAGCATTGCTTCAACACTTTTATACGGGCAGGCACGTTGAGGCGCAAGAGGGTCCCACAAGTGCAAACGGTGCTGCGAACCTGAGCTAACCAGAATATCGGTCGTCGGCAGGGCTGCGCGACCCTCAGGGGCGACTCTGCCTTGGCGGCGAGCGCCAATCACCGCAGCATCTTTGATCTGGACGCGCGTATGTGCTGTTCTCTGCTCATCACCGACGCCCGCACAGCGAATGCGGGATTAAAGTTTCTTGGGGTTGAGCATCCAAGGAATGCGGTCGACTATCGACCCACTATACGTTCAAGAAGCGAGCTGCTGCCTTGTAATTACGTGCACTAGGCGCGCGTTGAAGGATCTTCTCAGCAAAGCTCGAGGAGAGAAGATTTGCGTCTGCGGTCCAGAAGCGAGAAGGAGCGCGGACAGCATGCCGCATCCCACAGGCCAAGAATATGCGGGGTGCTGCTTCAGACAGCAGCGGCGCGCACAGACCCGATGCGAAGGGTAGACTGACGACTGTAGCGAATGGACCCGTACGGGCGCGAATCTATTCTATACGCGCTGATCTGGGTTTCCTGAAGCAGCCTAGCGTGAGAGCATAGGTCCGAATGGAGGAAACGACGGTGAGTGAGATCGAGAATCAAGGTACCTCATATCGTGTTGGGATGTCAGATGCAGCGAGCTAGATGAGAGGTGGGCGCAGAGGATCAAGGCAGCTACCGACAGTCGCTGGCTAGGTGGCCGTGCGGTGCGGTGCGGTGCCGTGCGGTGCCGTGCGGTGGGATCGGGACTCGCTACCCTTTTGTCGGGGGGGAATGTGAATGAGCTGGGCGTTTGGCGGGGGGGCGGGGGCGGCCTTGCTTTTTGCTGGGCGTGGAATCGCGTGCTGAGTGTCGGAGTCACAGTCACGAGTGCCGCTCACTGCGCGCTGCTGGGAGAGCGGAGATGCAAAGCGCGTGCCTCCGATTCGCGCTAGTGCACGCGTCTGCAGCATGGCCACGCTTCAGCTCGATCCTCGACGCGTGCGAGGTGGCGGCCGTCTGCTGCTGCTGCTGATGGATATGTACGATCAACGATTGAGATTCACCATTCGTGATTCACATTCAATGATTGACAGCCAAGTCGTTGGATTGCACGCTTCGCCTGTCAATCCAACGATGCGTTGACGTGCAGTGCAGTGCAGTGCAGTGCAGTGCAGTGCAGCACTGGCTGGCTATCCAACGTTGCCCCTGCGCATGCGGCAAGCGGTTTGCCCGATGGCCCCGACTGGATCGCGGCCGTGGAGGTCCGCTTGCCGCGATTCACTGCGACTTCATTCGCGACTGTGACTGTCGCTCTGCAAGTACGGGCGCGAGCTTCAAAGGTCGTGTTGCCAGCAGCGGCACGCCTGGAGGTGGAGTCACAGTGGGCTGATGCCGTCGTCACTGAATCGTGTTCAGAGCTGGATTGGCTGCCTGCCTGATTCCGCACAGAATGGGCTCTTTTGGCGCGTATCTGCAACGCAGATTCACCAATGTCGTACAGTACAGTACAGTACAGTACAGTACAGTACAGTACAGTACAGTACAGTACAGTACCATTGCGATACGTGTCGCGTTCCAGTAATCCGATGCAATGTGAATCGTGAAACTTCGAACGCAAACGGCGCGGCCGGCGTCTTTGTCTGCCTGCCTTTGGCCCAATCAGACACCGCTTCGAGATCGCCAGAGGTGCCAAATTCGGCATCAGCGGGGCACACGAAGCAGGCAAGCTGACAGCCTCGGCGATTTGTTCCAGTGCGGAATGCGAGGTCAGAAGAACCGCAAGCGGGGCGGAGCGGAGAACCAAAGGCACGATCTGCAGAGGTCACAGACTGGTGACTCGCGGTGGGGAGTGACGAGGTGAGGTGAGTGCCGGTCGTATTTCCCTCGCGCGTAGACGGTGCACAAAGTTTGCACTGACGACTCACGACTCACGACTCACGACTGGTGAGGCAACGCGTCGGAACACACACGAGCCGG